AATATAACAGGAATCTTAATTATTTTTCTGTCACTGTTTACCTGAACGTTTTAATGCAATCAGTTATGTACAATCTTGACAATGACAGTTTCTGTCAAAATAGGTTTCTAGTTATCTGGTACTACAATTAAGCTGTGTAACTCATTATTATCCACAAGAAAATAATGTATTTAAATGCCTCTTACACTGTTTGGGGAAAATCCCATACATTCATTTATTTATTTATTTAGCCAGAAACTGTGGTTACTGAGGTAAATCTTTCTAAGGGTTTATACAGTAGGACCATACATAACAGGCAAGGGACTTTACATGACAGGCGTTTTGCCACCGATTCCATCTTGTAACTACCCTGTAAAGAGTTGAGCCAAGAAAATGGGCTTGGCAGACTGCGTTCAATATGTTCCCTCACCTGTTTATGCAGAGAAAACAGATGGCAAAAAGCAGATGTCAGATACATTTTGCAATAAGAAAGCAGTAATTTCTTGTACTTGTACAGTAGCTTCTTGTTACTTCATCTCTCGCCAAGCTTCGTTTTAAGTCTCAGAAGAAATTCCAAATAGCACACATAGGAGGATTTGTGAGTTATTTTCCAATTTAATGGTATATCTTTAGATACCGAAATAGGCAAAATAAGTGAACTGATTCTGCCTCATCCTTGAACATGAAGTCCAGGATGGTCTTGGTCAATGTCTGTCTGACAAGTCAGTGGTAGTTCAAACAACATGAGCCTGGGAACAGTGTATTTTTTCCATCGCACTTCTGCAACAGTCTGGCAATTCCAAGACTTCAAGCTTTGTTGGGGAACTGTGCTTGACAACTCATCCTTCTACAGGGTATTCAAACAAATGTATGATCATCAAGAGGTTTAAATGTTTAAAATAAAAACTAGAACTGCCCTACGCAAACATCTTTCACGCCACTATCCGCCTGCCCTTGCCAGTTGTCATCCATGTGCTGAAAGACCACACTTTTGCCTTGGCATCCTTTTGACAACACAGTTTATCATGCATAAATGTAATGTCAAATTATAAATATATTATTTAACATATAATTGACCATTCTGTGACTGGTCACTTTGCATGCAGCTCAAGCAGTTTCTTCCTGTCTAATTGGGCAGTTTTTGACCAGGATAAATCGGAAAGTGGAACAGGCTTAAGTAGTCTGAAGTCTGGCTACATGACACTAAGTATCCTTTAACCAAGTTCAAAAAGTCATACGTTTTTAGAGTTTGTGATTGCTCCCTCATTTCAGCTTCCATATACTTTAAACGGCTCTTTAAGCTGAGAGCCACGTGGGAGTCTCAGCTGAAGGTTGCATTGGCCACGGTGCCCACAGCAGTTGAGCAGTCATCGAGACGTCATGCCAGGGAGAAGGATAAAGGGGAAGCAGAACAGAGGACGACAGCATCCCATATCTGCAGCCCTGGGGCAGTCAGTCTGTCTCCTCGTTCTGGGGAGGGGTAAACATGTTAGGCCTGGCTGGGAGACTAAACACTACCCTCTATTGGATGACACAGAGATTGTGCATGGTGAGGTTGACCCTCACTCGAACCACGTTAAGGGTTACAGCAATGACCAAGCAGTGAACTTCCAATCCGATCCGAGTCAAGCCACATCTAGAATGCAAATGTGATAATGCGCATGAAGGACGTAAGCTACTTTTCATTTTGGAATGAAATTATACAGGACGGCCGGGTTTAGAATTAAAAATTAGTTTGCTTACATATCAGGTTCGTATTCTGTGTTTTGAAATGCAGATTTTGAAGTCAGTGTGAATTGCCATTTGCAACTCATTTTACTTTGTTATTTGACATTTGTCAGAGAAACATGATATTCAACTTGATTTTATCCATCCTGAATCATGAAAATTTGGCATCTTATTCTAAACTGAATTTCAGTTTGCTAAAGCAATGCCTAAATATTTGG